CTTTTTTCTTTTTGCTTATGTGGTGCTGAGGAATCGAACCCAGGGCCTCATGCATGCAAGGCAAGCGCTCTACCACTGAGCCACCTTCCCAGTCCGAGACACGAGTCTTGATTGGAAAAAAAAAAAAATCCCTTTCTCCTTGCTTGTAACCTACACTTTTTCCCCTGAAGCAACTCATTCTCTTCTGTGTTCTGCGGTTCCTCCAACTACAGTGCTGTAGCTAGCTGGCTCCAGCTCTAAGGAGAAGCTGCAGACGCACACCTATTGCAAAGATGGCAGCCTGAGCAAAGTCAGCGGACACGTCGGTGCAGTACCCTCGAAGCTCTTCCAGCACCTGCTGCACATTCTCGTCATTCACCAGCTCGCACAGCACCTCCACCTTCTGGAGCTTGATATAATGGGGCTCCGAGTAGGAGCAAAAGAACTTCTTGTAGTGGCTGCTGAAGTGACTTGGCAAACTGCGTAAGATCTGACGCACGTGACAGAGGGCAGCGAAGCAGAGTTCCCGGCTCTCCGAAGAACAGGCAGCAAGCAAAGGCCCCTTGACTCGCACCAGCACGTCACTTTGTACATGGGGGAACTTTTTTGCTAAGATCAGAAAGAGTTTGGTGGCTCCCATCACCACCCCGGGACTGCTACTTTTGAGAAAGCTGTCCAACAGATTGAGAATGTCGAAGAGTTCCTCCTCACTGCGAGGCTGGTAGCGAAGCAGGAAGTTCAACACCTCAGCCTGACCCCACTGGTCTAGTTTTGACATTCTGCCCAAAAAAGAAAAGAAAAGCACTATTTTAACAACAAAATTAGGAATATCTGCATACTACTGTCCTGTACCAGGCAGCTATTATAACAAGTACAGAATTCCTAATAGGGATTCCATAATTATTCCATAATTATTTTTTACTATGAGTTCCCACAAAGTAAGCTTTTAAGTCCAAGTCAGGTTGATGAAACAAAGGCACACTTGTCTAATACTGAAGTCATGTTCAGCATACACTAGATTCCCTCTACATTTTTCTTTTTCTCCTTACTAAGGATTGAACCCAGGACCTTTACCACTGATGAACATCACCAGTCCCAGATTCTCTACTTTTTTTTTTTTGGTCATTGGGCCTGGGCGCTGTCCCTGCACTTTTCAGCTCAAGGCAAGCACTCTACCTCTTGAGCCACAGCGCCACTTCTGGTTTTCTAGCGGGGAGGAGGAGGGAAGGCTATTGGAGATCAGAGTCTCACGGACTTTTCTGCCCGGGCTGGCTTTGAACCACAATCCTCAGTTCTCAGCCTCCTGAGTAGCTAGGATTACAGGTGTGAACCACCAGCACCCACCTCAGATTCTCTATATTTTAAGACAACATAAATTGCTTAGTTTGGAGGACACAAAGCTGTAGAGGAGGGAAGAACATGTCCCTCGTGCTGCTTCTGCTATCTCTACAAGAGAAATTAAGTCAAACAAAAGAAATTCTCTTAGTGAAGTGTAAGGAAGTTAAAACTTAGGGTTAACTTTTTTTTTCAGCCTTTCAGCAGGTCCCAACAGAATGCATTCACCACAACAAAATGAGGAGGGGACATCCAAACCTATTTAGGAGATGGTGAGCAATGGGCTTGTTAATGACAACACCGCCTTCCTGTTTTAGGATTTCTTCTAGAGACCTCAGGCAGTTCACAACTACAATAGGGTCCTGGTCACGCAGCAAACTGTATAACTCATTTACCAGGGCACCATCTATAAAAAAGAAAAAACAAAAACAGATGAAGAAACCCTTCAGAGTGACAGGTATAGAGCCATAGTAATAACACTAGGCAGGTAAAGTTCTTTGCTAAAGAAATGACATATTGGAACCAGGTACCAGTGGCTCATGCCTGTAATCCTAGCTACTCAGGAGGCTGAGATCTGAGGATAACAGTTCAAAGCCAGCCCAGGCAGGAAAGTCCATGAGATTCTTATCTCCAAATAAACCACTAGAAAACCAGAAGTGGTGCTGTGGCTTAAGTGGTAGAGCGCTCGCCTTGAGCTGAGAACATAGGGACAGCACCCAAGCCCAGAGTTCAAGCCCCACAACCAACCAAAAAAAAAAAAAAAAAAAGAACTCAGGGGCAGTGCCTAGGCCCTGAGTGCAAGTCCCAGGACTGGCAAAAAAAAAAAAAGAAAGGAAGGAAGAAAAAAGACAACTCAGGAGCCAGTAGCTTATTCCTGTAATCCTAGTTACTCAAGAGTCTGAGATCTAAGATTAACATTTGAAGCAAAGCCCAGGCAGACAAATCTGAGACTACATCTCTAACCAGCAAAAAGCCAAAACTGTGGCTCAAGTGGTAGAGCAATAGCCACAAACAATAAAGCCACGTGAGAGCTTGAGGAGCTGAATTCAAGCCCCAGTATGGGCAACAAAGAAAAATAAAAGTAAATATCTATCTATATAGAATACATATGGCACACGTAAAATGACTTTGTATATGTATGTTATCTATATAATATGTATATATCATATAGGTAACACACACACACACACACACACACACACACACACACACACACACACACCACACTAAAGAATGAGAAGGGGCATTGAAAACATGTTCTAAAAGTTAAAAAAAAAAAAGTTTAGGCAGGGGCTGGGAAGGTGGCTCAGTGGTAAAGTGCTGCCTCGTATGCATGAGGCCCTGGGTTCAATTCCTCAGCACCACATAAACAGAAAAAAGCTGGAAGTGGTGCTGTGGCTCAAGTGGCAGAGCACTAGCCTTGAGCTGAAGAGCTGAGGGATAGCACCGCCTAGAGTTCAAGCCCCACAACCAACAAAAAAAAAAGAAAAGAAAAGAAAAAATTTTGCTGGGCACTGGTAGCTCACACCTGTAATCTTAGCTACTCAGGAGGCTGAGATATGAGAATTTTGGTTCAAAGCTAGCCTGAGCAGAAAAGTCGGAGAAACTCTTATCTCCAATTAACCACCAGAAACCCGGAAGTGGTGGTATGGTTCAAGTGGTAGAGTGCTTGCCTTGAACTGAAGAGCTGGGGGACAGCGCCCAGGCTCAGAGTTCCAGCCCCATGACCAAAAAAATGTTTAAAAAAAAAAAGAGTTTTGTTTTTTGTTCTTGTTTTTTAAAAAAAGAGCTGGAAGCTGGTGGCTCATTCCTGTAATCTTAGCTACTCAGGAGGCTGAGATTTGAGAATCGCAGTTCAAAGCCAGCCTGGACAGCAAAATCTGTGACTCTTATCTCCAATTAACCACTGGAAAACAGGAATTGGGAGCCATGGTTCAAAGTAGTAAAGTGCTAGCTTTGAGCAAAAGAGCTCAGGGACAAAACCCATGCCTTGAGTTCAGGCCCCATAACCACCAAAAAAAAAAAAAAAAAAGAGGTTAAAAAAAGTCTAAGTCTGGGCTGGGAAGGTGGCTCAGTGGTAGAGCGCTTGCCTTGCATGCATGAGGCTCTGGGTTCAATTCCTCAGCACCACATAAGCAAAAAAGAAAAAAGCCAGAAGTGGTGCTGTGGTTCAAGTGGTAGAACGCTAGCCTTGAGCTGAAGAGCTGAGGGACAGCGCCCAGGCCCAGAGTTCAGGCCTCATGACCAGACTCCCCCCCCCAAAAAAAAAAAGTACAAGTTAAGGAAGTGACACTATAGCTTAAGTGGTACATAGAGTGCTTGCCTTGAGCTGAAGAGCTGAGGTTCAGCACCCAGGCCCAGAGTTCAAGTCTCAGGACCCAAAACAAACCAAACAAACAAAAAAGAAGCACGTGTCAGAAAACTTGACATATCTACACTGTTCTAAGTAGCTTACTGCAATAGTTCTCATCTTGCTCCCGTTCACCCCTCTCCCCACAAAAACCTCTAGTAGGAAGTCCTACACCCTGCTAAGACCCTGCAGTGGAGCCTCTTAGACACATAGCGAAAGCACCAGTGAACGACACTGAACTTACCGACTTCAGAGTCTCCGTGTAGATTGTGCATCTTGGCACAACCAAGGACTGCCACCCTACGGACATAGGAAGCCTTATCCCTCAGACCGTTGAGAATAGGCTGCTGGGTATATTCCTGTACTCCGGGCACCCTAGACAATAAATGCATCCTGAAGTCAGCCTTCATACCTCTTCGAAGATTTAATGGAGGGCTTTGCTTAGATATAATTTAGATGTCTCACTGTACATCCATCAAATCACAAACAATCAGAGAAAGCCTCTACCAAACTTAACAAGTCTAATTTGGCTTTCATTTGGATTAAGGCTGTATAGACAGAATAAATTGTTCACTAATAATTACTTAAACATCTTTACTAAAACTGAGGACTATTTACCAAGAACAAGAATTGAAAATTTCCTTTAATAAAATCAATAATACAGCTAGGCACGGGTGGCTCACATCTATAATCCCAGCTACTCAGGAGGCTGAGATCAGAGGATTGCAGTTCAAGCCAGCCTGGGCAGGAAAGTCCATGAGACTCTTATCTCCAATTAACCACCAGAACTCCAGGATTGCAGCAGTGGCTCAAAGTGGTAGACTACTTGCCTTAAGCGAAAAGAGCTCAGGGACAGTGCTCAGGCCCTGGGTTCAAGCCCTACAACCAAGAAAACAAAAAATACTTCAGAAAGTCAAAGTAATAGCTAAAAGTCTGATTTGGGGTATCACAGTGTTGTTTTTTTTGTTTGTTTTTAGTCAGTCATGGGACTTGAACTCAGGGCCTGGACACTATTCCTCAGCTCTTCAGCTCAAGGTAAGAGCTCCACCACTTGAGCCACAGCGCCACTTCCAGCTTTTTCTACTTATGTGGTACTGAGGAATCGAACCCAGCATGCAAGACAAGCACTTTACCACTGAGCCACCTTCTCATCCACAATGGGTTTTTTGTTGTTGTTGTTGTCATTGTTGTTTTTCTCCGGTCATGGGGCTTGAACTCTGGGCCTGGGCGCTGTCCCTGAGCCCTTTAGCTCACGACTAGAGCTCTACCACTTGAGCCATAGTGTCACTTCCTGTTTTCTGATGGTTTATTGGAGATAAGAATCTCATGGACTTTTCTTCCCTGGGGCTGGCTTTGAACTGTGATCCTCAGAACTCAGCCTCCTGAATATTTAGAATTACAGGTGTGAGCCACTGGTATCTGGCCCACAGTGTCTTCTTTAGTACGGAGAAGCTCAAGTAAGTTGTCCTCATAAAAAATATACCCCATAGCAGACCACAGGAAGGATAGAAGGGTAGTGGGGGAGTATGATAAAGTACAGTCTACACCCGGTTGATAATGTTTTAACAAAATCCTGCGTGTTGTGAAGTTAGTACATTCTAGTAAAGAAAGCGAACATAAAGGTGAAAACATCAGTCTCTGCGGACCAGACTCACCTGAGACTACACAGGCCCCGCAGGGCCAGGCCTCGCACCATGGGGTTGGCGTCCGAGCAGTCTTTGCACAGGGTGTTGATGGCCAGGAGAGCCAGGTCCGGCTTCAGGGGTGCGTATGTGCACATGTACAGATAAACCAGCTTCTTTTGAACCACATCTGCAGTGGCACCAGCCTTCACCATCTCCAAGAAAACACCAGACATGTCCATGCCCTGAGTCATGTGTCTGGAACCAACATGCACAGCAGCAATCAGTAAAATACAAAAGCCCCAATCAGAAGGATTTTCATTCACACAAGTTGCAATCACGTAGAAAGGATGCAAGCATGTCTACTTTGTCTCATTATGTCACAATACTGTTTTGGGGGGGGGTCAGGGGTGGGCCTTGAACTCAGGGCCTGGGTGCTGTTTCTAAGCTCTTCTGCTCAAGGCTAACACTCATCACTTTGAACCATAGCTCCACTTCTGGCTTTTGAGTGGCTGGAGATAAATCTCTCACGGGGACTTTTCTGTCTGGGCTGGCTTTGAACAGTGATCCACAGATCTCAGCCTCCTGAGTAGCTAGGATTACAGGCATGAGCCACCAGCGCCCAGCTGTCATACAATATGTTACACCAAGGGCCTGCAATAAATATTGTTCTATGTGTTCAAAACTTGTTGAACCCCTAGTACCTTCTAATGAAATTGAGCTTTTTCATTCCAGGAATATGCTGAGACTTTTTTTTTTTTTTTGTCAATCATGGGGCTTGAACTCTGGGCTTCAGTGCTGTCCCTCAGCTCTTCAGCTCAAGGTGAGCGCTCTACCACTTGAGCCACAGTGCCACTTCCAGTTTTCTGGTGGTTAACTAGAAATGAGTCCCACAGACTTTCTGCCTGGGCTGGCTTTGAATCATGATCCTCCAATCTCAGCCTCCGAGTAGCTAGGATTATAGACGTAAGTCACCAGTGCCTGGCTGACATAAACTTAAAAAAAAAAATTGTTATTGTAAAGGTGATATACAGAGGGGCTACACTTACATAACTCAGATAAAGAGTACATTTCTTTTTGAACACTGTCACTCTTCTCTTACTCTCTCCTAGTCTTTCCCACTTGTCCCCACCCACAAGTTGTATAGTTCATTTTCAACATAGGATTTAGCACCACTGCTGAATTTGTTCACTCTTTATCCTACCATTTCTTTCTTTTTTTTTTTTTTTTTTTCAGTTGTGGGTCTTGAACTCTGGGTCTGGACACTGTCACTTAGCTCTTCAGCTCAAGGTTAGCGTTCTACCACTTGAGCCACAGTGCCACTTACAGTTTTCTGGTGGTTTATTGGACTTTCCTGCCCAGGCTGGCTTTGAAACTCATCCTCAGATCTCAACCTCCTGAGTAACTGGGATGACAGGCATGAGCCACTGGTGCTGGGATTGTCCAACCATTTCTGTGCCTCCCCTAACCTTCCCAAAGACAGATAAACAAGATAAAGGGAAAGGAAAACAGAAACAGCAACTAAGAAAAAGAAACCTCGTTTCCATTTCTTGGAGTTCATTTTGATAAATATTATTTATGTGGTATAGGGTTCTATAGCACCTATGTGATCCTCTCCTAAGAACATCCTCCTTTGGTCTCACTGTGTAGATGTCTAGAAACTTGTATAATTCAACTTTTCCCTGGGCGCTAGTGGCTCACGCCTGTAATCCTAGCTACTCAGGAGGCTGAGATCTGAGGATCAGAGTTCAAAGCCAGGCTGGGCAGGAAAGTCCAAGAGACTTTTTTTTTTTTTAGGGTCCATTCGTGGGGCCTGAATTCGGGCCTGGGCGCTGTCCCTCAGCTCTTCAGCTCAAGGCTAGCACTCTACCATTTGAGCCACAGCGCCACTTCCGGCTTTTTTCTTTTTGCTTATGTGGTGCTGAGGCAAGTGCTCTACCACTGAGCCAACTTCCCAACCTCCAAGAGACTCTTATCTCCAATAAACCACTAGAAAACCGAAGTGGTGTTGTGGCTCAAGCTGTAGAGCACTCACCTTGAGCTGAAGATCACAGGGACAGCGCCCAGGCCGAGTTCAAGCTCCACAACAGGAAAAAAAAAATCATTTCCCGGTAGTATTTTTTTCTTTTACCATCTAGTGTGTTTACTTATAGGCACATTCTAGTTACTACAAATGAGGAAAACCATGCAACCTATGTTTCTTTAGGTCTGGCTTACTTTTCTTTTTTTTTCTGTAAATATTTTTATACTTCAAAGCAAATGTTCAGTCTAGAACAATCTGTGTTTAAAAAAAAAAGTAACAGTATCATCAAGTAAGAGTTAACAGAGTTCTTTTATTTTGACAGTCCTGAGGCTTGATCTCAGGGCTTGGGCACTGTCCCTGAGCTTCTTTTGCTCAAGGCTAGCACTCTACCACTTGAAGCCACAGCACCACTTGTGGCTTTTTCTGTTTATGTGGTAGTGAGGAATTGAACCCAGGGTGGCTTACTTTTCTTAATACTTTTTCCAAGTCTTTTTTTTGTTGTTGTTTCTTGGTTGGTTGGTGGGGCTTGAACTCTGGGCTTGGGCACTGTCCCTATGCTCTTCGGCTCAAGGGGAACGCTCTACCACTTGAGCCACAGCCCCACTTCCAGTTTTCTAGTTTATTGGAGATAAGATTCTCACAGGCTTTCCTGCCCGGGCTGGCTTTGAACCATGATCCTCAGATCTCAGCTTCCTGAGTAGCTAGGATTACAGGCATGAGCCACCAGCACCCAGCTCCAAGTCTTTCCATTTCCTCACAAATGGCATAATATCATTCTTTCTGATGGATGCATAGAATCCCACTGTGTAGATATACCACAATGTCTTGATCCACATCTGGGCATCTGGGTTGATTCCATGTTGGCTATGGTAAACGATGCTGCACCGAACATGGTTGTGTTGGTAGCTTTAGTATGGCCTTGTTTGTGGTCATTTGGGTGAATGCCCAGGAGTGGGACTGCTGGGTCATAGGAGAGCTCTGTGTTTAGTCTTTTGAGAAACCTCTATACTGCTTTCCATAGTAGTTTAACAAGTTTACATTCTCACCAACAGTGTATAAACTTTTCTTTTGGACACTTCACTGCCATTATTTATTATTGTTAGTTTTCCCAATATTGGCCATTCTAAATGAGGCGAGGTGGAATCTCAATGTTGTTTTGATTTGCATTCCTTTTATGGACAGAGATGTTGAACATTTCTTCATGTGTCTAATGGCCATTTTGTTTTACTACTTCTTCTGAGAAGTCTCTAAGTCTTTAGCCTGTTTATTACTTGTGTCGTTGTTTTGAGAGTTTACTTGCGGGGGGAGAGGCTTGCTTTTTTGAGCTCTAAGTATATATTAGATATGAGGCCCTTGTCTGATGCATAACTGGTAAAAAAAAAAATCTTCCATTCTGTGGGTTTTCTATTTGTTAGCTACGCCCTTATCAATGAGCCATAATCTTAAGACCCATAGGAAGTGTAGACTAGTAAAGCAGAAGACTACCACTAACTACAATACAGTAGATAAGGACTTAAACAGAATATACAGAATACAGGCAGGGGGAGTCCTGAGGCCTGACATTATCAGAAAAAGTCAGAAATGTTTCTTTGCTGCAGCAGCAATACTGTAGCCTAAAGGTTATGAAGCTCATCAGGCAGATAAAGTAATGATATGATTAATGTCCCTCTGTGTATCACCTCTATGCAACAGACAGGAAGGTACAGCCCATCCCTGCTGGGCGGTGGAGGCTGGGACTTGGGACCTGATCCCAAGGCCAGCACGGAGACAAATCTTTTGAGACTCATCGCAAACCACTAACAACGCTGGAGTAGAGGTGTGATTCCGGGAGTAGAGCGCCAGCCTTGAGGCGCTGAGGCTGAGAGCACAGGGCTCCGAGTTCACGTGCCCGGGCTCGGTCGGACCAGGACAGCGAGCGGCCCCTACCCCACTGCTCTTGCTCGGTGAGTACCCGGGGGCGGGCGGCCCGGGCTCCTGGCCACTGCCGGGCTCGGTCTCCCCCGGCCTCCCCTCCTCCCGCCCCTCCCTAGCGCGGCCTCCGTCGTCATCCCGGGCGCGCCTCCACCCCCGCGGGCTGGCGGCTCGGCTCT